AGAGTGACTGGGCAGCAGGTCCAGCATGGAGGGACTCAGCCACAGCGTGGGTCTGTCCACCGCAGTCTCTGCCCAGATACGTTATGAGGACAAAGGACACGCTCTGTCACACAGACATCACACTGCAAAGACTCTATTAGCGGTGCTAAGCAATACTTGTTAGGGTTCTGAGTTCCTTTAGTTCTTAGGGAGCAATACATTCTCGTTTTGACACATTCCTGTTGATTATTTGAGAAACAACCATATTTATCGTAGCTAAGAGTATTACGTCATGAACCCCTGGTGTTTTCTTTAAACCTGTGTTTGCAAAAAGCACTCACACTCATTTAATGAACATCCATACTTCTCTCTGAGTCCTATATTCAGACAGTTTAAGTGTGAACTTTGAGAGTTCAGCAAGGCAAGAGTTGAACATCAGTCACTCTGCTTGTGGAAAGTGAATTACTGGAAATCTCCCCACAATTGAACCGTCTGTTTCATGACTCATTTGTGCCTCATCCTACATCAACATGCACTTGGTAAATTTCTAGTTTTTCTAAGTAATTCGTGGTAGTGTAGCCTGCAGTTCCCATTGCTGAAACTTCATCCTCAGTGGCCTGTGGATGTGGTCAAAGAATCCGTTTGGGGGCATAGACAAGTGTTTGCAGTGCCTTGGCATCTGCCACGTGTGCAAACGTGAAGATGGAGGTAGGGCAGACGGACTGCCCATGGCTCCCCTCCCTGAAGTTCTCCCTTCAGTGCACATAGTCTCCATCCATCCATTTGTCCGTCTGCCCATCCATCCATCCGTCCATCCATCGGTCCACCCATCCATCCATCCATTTGTCCATTCATCCAGTTATTCACTCATTCACTTATTCATTCATCCATTTGCTCTTTCATTCATTCACTGGTTCACTCATTCACTTGCTCATCACTCAGCCATTCACTTACTCACTCCTTTCCTCACTCCCTCATTCATTCATTTGATGAATGTCTATGGTTTACGGAGTACTTGTTACTTGACCTCTGTTCTAAGAGCAGACACTAGGAGAAAGGCAGCTGCCCCTCTTGTCCAGGCAATCCCAATCCCTGAGGACAGAGGAACCAAGTGGAAACAGCACAGTCATTTAGATGTTGGGTTTTTCCAGCGGGGATGAGCTCTAGTAGGTGAGGAGTCCTCCCAAAAGTAAAATGTCTTTTTCTCCTGAATCTGGGTTTCTAGACAAGAGCTCCTTTCCATTGAATTCTCTGAAGTGTTTAGAAGATTCTAGGATACCTTTTCTCCCTTCTCTGTCATTAGGACAGTCTTGTTGAGGAGGAAGGCTTGTCATTGTCTTCCAGAGAGCAGAGAAGTCATGTTGGTGAGCGTCCCTAGGAGAAGAATCTGCGGAGGCTTACACTGGGTGTGCTGGTAGGGTGAGAACCCTGAGGGGCAGGGGCCCTGATCAGAGTGACCATCAGGGTCCTGGACCCTGGGCCCTGATCAGAATGACCATCAGGGTCCTGGACCCTGGGCCCTGATCAGAGTGACCATCAGGGTCCTGCATCCCAGGCCCTGGTCTGAGCACCAGCAGAGTAATGCAGTGTGGCCATGGGCGGCTCCACCTGCCCTTCTGCAGGCTCTGGGCAGCCGTCCCAGGAAAGCTGACCTCTCCTGGGTGGGAAGAACTTTCTCATGGCCCAGAGTCTCAGGGGCTCCACTGAACTTGGGTGAGTCTGCGGGAGGGTTGCTGGGTGGTCCAGGTGGCTCTGAGGCTCTGTGGATGGAGCCTCTGTGTCTCACTGGAGGCACTGCTTGAAATGGGGAGGAGAATGGATGTGGACTCAGGACCTGCATGGGAAACCTTTCTTTTTACTAATTAGGAAAAAAAAACCCAGTTAAACAATCAAGAGGACTTTGGCTGCAGAGCCTGAGAAAATGTATTACTATCTGACTTTGAACATACTGTTTTCCTTTAAGCCTGATTATCTTCCCTCAGGTGGATTATAGTTCTGCCAGATTCAGAGTTTGTAGCTTCATCTACTTTAGAATCACAGGAGTTGTAAACAACCTTTACAGCTTTCATCTCAGTGATAAGTAATACACACAGGTTTTAACTCTTAAAAAATTCAGAATTGAGGATTTTGCCCAAACCATTTAAATGCAAGAACTGCCTCCCTGTGGTTTCCTACCACATCAAGAAACTCATACCCCAAGGAGTTACTTATCCTGAGATCCTTGGATTTAGTTAAGTAGGTGATGTGACTTATCATGAGAGTTAGTTTTTAGATGTAAGATACGGATGGCCTTTCTCAGGAGCTGGGGTTTTAGAAGGCCCTCAGGCATTCTCTGGCTCAAACCAATTTACCAGAGTGGGGACTGTACTTCAGAAGGTCATAAAGCAAGTGACAAGGGCAAGACTAGAGGTTAAACTTGAAGTTTAAAAAAAAAAAAGCTTTTTTTTCCCCTCTGTTATACAAGTAATATCCTTCACTGTAGAATATTTTTTCGCATGTAGGTTAACAAGAAAAAGGAATCATAACAATACTGCCTAGAGTATCACAGTTAGCATTTTAGTACACGTTCTTCAAAACTTTTGAAAATTTTATTTTGGTCTTTTACTTTTTTATTACAGAAGGTTTTAAAGACACACAGAATTAGAGAGACTAGGACCATGGACCCCACACCTGTCACCTGCTTTGACGATTACCAACTCACAGCTCAGCTTGCTTCATCTGAACCGTCTGGATTATTTTGAAGCAAACCCCAGACATTATACAATTTGTTTTCAGAATAATATTTTACTATGTTTCTGGTGAAGGTTTACACCGCAGTTTAGGTTCCCATTCAATTTCTATACAAGTTGTTCAGTGACATGGTTACATTCATCACAGTGTGTGAACGTTCTCATTATTTCCGTTCTGGTTGTTCCGTTTCCGTTAAGCTAGTTTCCCTGCCCCCTTACTTTGTCATCTTTGTTTTAAAGTAATTATTGACCATTTGGTCTCATACAGATGATTTTTTAAAGGAGTACAGTACTTATGGGTGATATTCATTATTTTATGAGCTAATCTGTTATTTAACTACAAGGTGACATCTGGGGTTAGTTTCATTTCAAGGTTTGAAGAGTATCTCAGGGCAGTAGTCTCAGGGAGTCTTCCAGTCTCAACTAGTCCAGTAGGTCTGTTTTTTTTTTTAGGAATTTGAAGTTCTATTCATTTTTCTCCCATTCTATCAGGGTCCATCTACTGTGGCCCCAATTAGAATGGTTGGTAGTGGTAATCGGGTACCGTCTGGTTCTTCTGGCCTAAGGGTAGATGAGGCCATGGTTCGTGTAGACTGTCCTGTAGACTAGTTTCTTCTCTGAGACTTTGGTTTCCTTCTTTGTCATTTGCTCTGGATGAGTGGAGACCAATGGTTGTATCTTAGATGGCTGCTCACAAGCTTTTAAGACCTCAGACACTAGTCACTAAACTAGGATGTAGAACATAACTTTATAAACTGTATTATGCCAGTTGACCAGGTTGTTCCGTAAGACTATAGTCCTGATCCTTCAAACCCAGAAAACCAAACCTGCGAGGTGTTTGGTGATGTCTAAGAAATACCTGTAACTGTGCTCCCCATGTGCTTTATTACATCTGTGAATATATGTGCGTACAGTCACATAGAGCTATATACATATGCATATACATATATATACACACATATATACTCTCATATACATACCTGTACACATAGATGCCTACATATGTACGTATACACCCGCACATATATTTTTTGGTTGTTTCAAAATTACATATGCCATAGTGATTACCAACAGGTCCTTTTTTCTTGTGTATGTCTCAGTGACATCTAATTTTGACTCTTTTTGTTAAACTTTTGTCCTTTTAAGGGACAAGAGACCATGAAGCAAAGTTATAGAAAAAGCAGGGCCTCTGGAGTCAGCTATGATGGTTTTGTTATTTCCTTGCTGTATAATCTCGGGTGAATGGCATGCCCTGTGGAGCCTCAGTCTCCTCCTTTGTAGAATGGGGCTATTCTATGTAACTCCAGTGCCATGAGGAGAACATGAGGCTCATGGGGCTCTTAGGACAGGATGTGGCAGGCATATCACACATACTTGGTGTGTGTAAGCTCCATTCCCATTCCCTGGGCTAGTGCAGAAATAATAAACAAAACTTCCAGTTCTTCCGGTTTATGCTTGACAGGTATCATACCTGCTCATGTTGATCTCTGAGTTGTAGCTAATTCTGTTCTCATTGCTCAGGGTGGTCAGGTGCTTTCATTCATCTCTCTCTGGTCACAGAATTTAGACCTGAGGACCTCTGAAAATCCTGCCCCTGGCCCTGCCATTCTGTAAGGGGCCAGCTAGGTCCCAGATGGCGAGGTTACTTGTCTGGTGCACCCTCGCCCCCACGGCTAGTTAATGGGAGACAGAAGGTGAGAGCCAGGCTTCCTGATTCCTGAACCAGGGCTCGGACCACTTTGATTTTAGAAAGGTCTTCAGTTAGTTCTGGAATCTATCTTATTAACCAAAACAAAAAACCAAACCCGTTGCCATTGAGTCCGTTTCAACCCACAGCAGCCCTATAGGACAGAGTAGCACTGCCCCATAGGTTTCCAAGGAGCGACTGGTAGATTCACACTACCGACCTTTAGTTAGCAGCGAAGCTCTTAACCACTGTGCCACCAGGTCTCCTGTCTATCTGTCTTATTAGGGAGGTTAAATAATTTATGTAAGCATATCATGAAGGAAGAAATATTTTAAGATGGTGCTTGGAAAATGTTTCCTTCTTATTTGGAACCTCATCCTGAAGATGAGACCTCAGCCTTACATCATCATGAAATAGCTGCTGGCTTTTACCAAGACTTTTAAATTGCTGTGTCAGGACATTCTTCTTAAAGTGATGGAAATGTTAAATGTAAGATGGTGAAGGATGGACTGCTAATCATGGCCCCCAAAGTAATAGCGTCTGGGACTTGTGGTTGGGAGACTGGCTGAGGGCTAACCTTTCACGCTGCTCTGTGTCCCCTCCAGCCCGTCCCTGCCTGCCCTCGACTGGCAGCTGCCGCCTCACTCAGGACCGTACGAGCTTCGGATTGAAGTGCAGCCCAAGTCCCACCACAGGGCCCACTATGAGACGGAAGGGAGCCGGGGGGCCGTGAAGGCATCAGCTGGAGGACACCCCATCGTGCAGGTACCCAGAGCTACAGCGCGGGGTTCCAACATGCCACACTGGTGCGAGTCGGTGCTCTCTTGATCCAAAAGTCAGCTTTGGGGCAGCAGCTCACAGTGGTTTGCTTTTCTGTCGGTTAAATTATCTCCCAACCAATGGAGCAGAACGGTGCATGTGTGTACATGTATGTATGTATTTTAAGTCCTAGCTTCTCCACCACACATATACTGACTAGAGTGAGAATACTATAGAGTTCCTACTTCTGTATCCTGTTGATCATCTATAGTTGTGGAACCTCAGACTTCATTTAGAAACAGGAACGTTTTTTCCATGAAGCTGTGCTTCAGCAGACCGGATCTGGTAGATGATCAGAGAGCCTGGGCCTGGTCAGGAGGAATAACTAGATAGCGTTGGCCACCAAGTCTGTATCAGCAACATGGTTCTAAAAGACTGTTACCAGCTGCCATCGAGTGGACCCCGACTCATGGCAACTCGTGTGTCAGAGTAGAGCTGTGGTCCAAAGGGTTTTCATGGCTATGACCTTTCGGAAGCAGATCGCTAGACATTTCTTCTGAGGTACCTCTGGGTAGACTTGAACCTCCAACCTTTCGACAAGCACAAGCACATTAACCATTTGTGCCACCCAGGCAGCCGAATGACTGTTACTTGTTTGTAGTTATTGGCTGGCTACTCAAGTGCACCCAGGAGATGCTCTCATTCTTCGGTCTGGAGAGACATTGACCTTTTATCCCATGTCCTTCCTGAGCAGTAGTCTTTGATTCAGAAAAGACAGGGCAGAGAGGAAAACGGAGAATTGAAGAGAGACTGCCTGGCTGCGCAGGTGCCGTGGGTCATCTGGGGACTCCAACCCCTCAGACGGTGGCCGTGGGGATGGGGTGGGGGTGGAGGGCTCTGACCACACTTCCCAGGTGTCCCCCCCTCCCAGGTGTCCCCACCTGCCAGGACACTGGACCTGCATATTTTCTGGTTTCCAGGGTCTCCTGGAAGGGGAGAACTTAAAATGAAAATAAATATGATCTTGCAATCAAAAGGTTTTATTTTTGAGGAGCTCTTCTTCTATAATGAGTCTTTTAGAAGTAAATGTTAAGGTTCGTCAGAACCAAGGAGAGAAATGTGTAATTTCGTTGGTCACGTTTTGCTTACTCTCCTAAAAACTTCAGCTGGGAAAGCCAGAGGTAAACTTTGCCTCTAACAACCGTTCCTCAGATTTCTAATCCACTTTCCTCAGATTTGTGTCCTGCCTCTCATGTGTCACAGGGAGGGACCACTGGGGGCCCAGTGGCGGCACGCAGCAGCACCCACACAGGGAAGGGGTGTCATAGGGTCAGAGCCATGCTGCTCAGGCCTGCAGCTGTGCAAGGCTGGCCGTACTCTGTGGACATCCAGGGCAGGCTCAGGCCCGCAGTGGCGAATGTGCCACCATTTCCTCGCCTAAAGAACACCTGGGAAACAACACAGTCCACCTGGCTTTAGAGCTAGAACACTCCTCCAAGGATTGCGTGAGAGGGATGGGGAGTGCCCACTGTCCCACGCTTTGATGTTCCCTTCTGTGGCCAGGAGCATAAATGAGAAAACCCCAGACTGGTTGTTCTGTGGGCAGTGGCGTTTCCATCTGTCATTTGTTTTACCTTATAGCTTTACATCTCCCCTCCCTCGCCATCCTCAAGGTGACTATTGTGACTGCAGCCATGTTAGGGATGAGTTTGATCATTTGCCATGGGGCTCCACACCCGCAGCATTTATAGACTGTTTCTCCCAACGCACCCCCACTGGCACCCCACAACTGGCACCCAGCCCTGTTATTTAGAAAGTGAGGTGAGCCAGAAGGGCTCTCAGCACGGCACAGCATACTTTCATTTTAACCCATTTAGATAAATAAAAAGGCTGCAAGGCAGGGGGCCCCAGGGACAAAGGCTGTTTGTCAAGGCCCAAATCAGAGACGTGGAGGTGGCAGGGGACGAGCGGAGAGCAAAGCACTTTAGCGAATATTTGCAAGCGATGTTAAGGTGGTATTTGTGGCTGCACACTTGAGGGCAATTAATACCTACTTTGTTAGCTATTGTGGATGGAGGCACAGGAGCGCACAGTGGCGATGGGCGTTTTAAGTTTTCACCTTCCCAGGTGGGAAAGGTCAGATAATGCTAGTGTTTAGTGGGCTAACTAACTGCAGGTGTTTGCCTCCCCTTTTGTGTATGGCTTTCACAGAATGAACGTACTTTGTTGCTTGTTGTTGGAAGATATTAAAAAGGAAAGGAAATAGACTGTTAGAGAAGGGGAGACGAAAATAAAGCGGTAGGGAAGTAATGGCTGAGTGCACAGCACTTAGTGTGAATCATGTCGGTGGGGGGCTGAGGCCTCAGAGGAGGGGGCCACAGGGATGTCCAACACCTTCTATCACAGAAATGCAAATGCTAGTGCTGGACTCAAAGCTGTCTCTTGTTGGTATTTAACTGAGGAGTGGAAATAGTATCACTGCAGTCTTTAAGGTAGAAACTGAGGCACAGTGAACGTGAACGTTGTCTTTAGGTGCCATTGGGTTGGCTCCGATCTTGGCAACCCAGTGTACAACAGGACGAAATGTTGCCGGGTCCTGCACTGTCTTTACAATAGTTGGCATGCCATTGTTGTGGCCACTGTGTATTCTGAGTTCCTTCCAACCTAGGGGGCTCATCTTTCAGCATGATATCGGGTAATCTTCTATTGTGATCCATAGGGTTTTCACTTGCTGCTTTTCAGAAGTAGATTGCCAGGCCTTTCTTCCTAGTCTGTCTTAGTCTGGAATCTCCACTGAAACCTATCCATCGTGGGTGACCCCGCTGGTATGTGAAATACTGGTGGCAGAACTTCCAGGATCACAGCAACACGCAAGCCACCACAGTATGACAGATTGACAGATGGGTGGTGGTGAGCGTGACTAGACCTTGAGTTTTCCAGGAATCCTTAAAATGTATTTGTTTCCACCCATCTTCTGGTAGCCATTAGTCAGTGGTGTTGTGAGTGCACGGGGATTGGCAGGCTCTGGAGCATTCCTGATTCCATTTCCCTGCAAGCTCATTATAGAATCTGGTTTCCATTTCCATGATCCAAGTATCCTGGGCATGGGGTGGCATTAATCAGTCAATATAGACAATGTATACATAATTGAAACAGTCTGGAGGCATTTTGAAATTTGAAGCAGTAATTTAATATATCTAAAAAATGTATCCTCAACAATTCAAAATAAGTTGTATGTGTTGGTGGAAGGCAGTGGCATGGGAGATGGTGGTTCTGTATTTAAACTGAATAGATGGCCCCCTATGATTTAAATAAGAGAAAGTGGTCCCCTGGGTAGGAAACGTCAGATCTCAGCACTCATCTGTAAGATGTTAGTCATTTAAAGAATTTTCTGATGACTCTATCGCAAAGCGAATTACGTATTCTCAAGTGTGAGGGAAGCGATTAAAAAGAGGTTTAGGGGGGCTGGCTTCCTTTTTTCAGTGGGTGGACCACAAATTGGATAAAAATAGAATTTGCACATAATCATAAAACAAATGAAAATAGAAAACTCTCGGTAGTTGTCAAAACTTAGTAACCACAAAGTTTTATTCTGTGCTGTTGTTTTTACATACCCCTCAGCCTGGCAACCTCCACCCCAACCTCCCCTCACTCTTCAAAAATGGCTGCATGTCATAGTAGCCTTTGAAGATGCTGGCATGTTGGGGATGGTCAGCTCCAAGCACTATGGTGTGGTCAGTTGGTCAGTGTTGGCCTTGTTTCTTTCTCTTTTGCTCTTCAGAGCCGCCACTTCGCACTAGAGTGCTAAAGCCACCTCACAGCGGGGCCATGTGTCTTCATTTGATAGAGAAATGCTGTTCTCTTTAGTAGACCAGCTAACCCACTTCCCTCAACCTTCCATACCAGGGCCGGTAGCTGTGGACGACTCATAGCAACCTGTGTGTGTCAGAGGAGGACAGTGTAAGAACTGTGTCAGGAGGCTTGTGTCAGGAGGCCTGTGTGTCAGGAAGCCTGTGTGTAAAGAGCACTGTCAGGCAGACTGTGCGTGAGGAGGACTGAATGTAAGGAGGCCTCTGTGTGAGGAGGACTGTGTGTGAGGAGGCCTCTGTGTGAGGAGGACTGTGTGTGAGGAGGCCCATCAGGAGGACTGTGTGTGAGGAGGACTGAGTGTCAGGAGGCCTGTGTGAGAAGGCCTGTGTGAGGAGGCCTGTGTCAGGAGGCCTGTGTATCAGGAGGCCTGAGTGTGAGAAGGCCGGTGTCAGGAGGCCTGTGTATCAGGAGGCCTGTGTGTGAGGAGGATTATGTCAGGAGGCCTGTGTGTGAGGAGGACTGAGTGTGAGGAGGCCTGTGTATCAGGAGGCCTGAGTGTGAGGAGGCCGGTGTCAGGAGGCCTGTGTGTGAAGAGGATTATGTCAGGAGGTCTGTGTGTAAGGAGGACTGAGTGTGAGGAGGACTGTGTATGGAAGCCTGTGTGTGAGGAGGACTGTGTATGAGGAGGCCTGTATATGAGGAGAACTGTGTGTGAGGAGGCTTGTGTCAGGAGGACTGTGTCGCCATCACCTAAGACCTCCCTTGTGGTAGGAGTGAGGTGGGAGGCGCAGGCTCATCCTCAACGGTGGCACGAGGGCCTTGGCCTCCGCAGCTCACACCTTGCTCCCACCTTGCTGCGTGTCCTGGACTCAGAAATCCCGCACTGCTGGTCCCCACAGGCGGTCCCCTGGCGGGTCTCCACAGGTAGTCCTCCAGTGATTCTCCAGTCACCCTTTCAGATCTTGTTTGCCCCCTGGCTGCAGATTTGGCCCGAGGATGAGGGCCTCTGTAGGGTCACAGCATGGTGCCAGCACCAGTCAGACTTGGCTTCCCTCTGCCTTCACCCCCTCCTGCCCTTCCAGACCCCAGCCATGCTCCCTGCTCCCTCGACAGTGTGGACTTCATCTGGGGGTGGACCCAGAGCTCCGAGCTGATTCCTGCAGCTTTTCATCAGAACGTTCTGGGAGGAGAGGTTT